ATTTTGAAATACTATAATTGGAATTTTCGCCATTTTTTAAAAAACTTTAGTTCCACAAATCACGAAATTTCAAAATTAACGGGGCAAGAAATGCTACATAATTATATATTAAAAGAAATTTTTGGAAGGATCATCGATAAACATACAGTTATATCTGATTTGCATAGACAGAGTGAATTGAGGAGAATAAGAGAAAATTTAGAAGAGAAGCAAATATATATGAAAAGGATTTTAGAAAGAAAACAAAAAAGGTTGAATAACCTAAATTTTTCGCAAAAATAAAATTGAAAAAACTTCAATTCCACAAATCATGAAATTCAACAATTAATTGGACAAGAACAAGATTATATATAAAAGATGATTTTTAGAAGTATCCATGACAAAACATATTGAATTAAGGAGAAGAATTTAAAATTAGGGAGAGAATCAAATATAGGTATGAAAAGAATTCTAGAAAGAGAAAAATGAGACAAAAAAAAGAGAAGAACTCTATTTTAAAACGGTTGACAAAATAAAAAAAAAGATAAAATAGAAAAAAATAAAACAATAATTTTTTTTTCAAGAAAAAAAACAACAATAATCAACCGTGTGTATAGAGAAAAATAAGGAGAACAAAAATACATTTTTTAAGAAAAAGAAAATAACTATTAAATGTCAAATAAATAAAACAAAGTCTTTTTCTTGCTAAAAAAATTTAAAATGTATTAGTTATTGCTAATTTAATCTATAGGGTGTTTCTTTTCTTTTTAGAAAGATGTATGTATAGTTCTATCTCTCCCTTTTCTTTTTCCTTAATACATTGATAATTTTTTTAATTTATCAATAAATTTTATTCTGATATCATCAATTTCTTAAATAAGTCAGTAATTTTATTTTGATATTCAAATTATGATATCTCGAATTAAATATATGACCATATGATAAAATATTTCTATAAAATAATATTTTTATCTCAAAATTTTGCGAATATTTTCAAAGGTCCATTACATAGTCATAGTCATATAAATATGTCACGCTTTTAAATATATGCATTAGTATCAATTGGAAACACCCCAGGTTTTATGACTTATTAAGCTAATACATATATAATTATAGAAGATAATATAATTTATGTGTTTAATTAATTTATAGAATTAACTTTTGACACACATAAAAACTTTTTAAATATTTTAATCGAAGATATTTAATATAAACATGCACTTGATCATATATTTAAGGGGAACTTTCACATATAGCCACTCAAAAATAGCCCAATTACTCTCCATAGCTGTAGTTTGATAATTACAATTTGTAGTTATATGTTATAGGGAGGAGAGAGGCGAGCGAGACTGGGAGAGAGAGGAGAGAGGTGAGAGAGAGGGGGCAAAGAGTAGGAGAAAGGTGAATTGTATATGTATACAGGTTAGATAATTGTATATTATACATATGTATTTGTATATATGGCAAGCGAGATTGGGAGAGGGAGGAGAGAGGCGAGTGAGAGAGGTGAATTGTATATGTATATAGGTTAGATAATTGTATATTATACATATGCATTTGTATATATGGCAAACGAGATTGGGAGAGGGAGGAGAGAGGCGAGCGAGATTGGGTAGAGAGTGGGAGAGATGTGAATTGTATATGTATATAAGTTAGATAATTGTATAGTATGCATATGTATTTGTATATTCTGGCGAATTATACATATATAAACGTGGTTAATTATACAAACTCGAAGTCAGCTCGCGTAATTAATGTATAATATTAGTCGTGAGTGATAATTATAACAAACTATAGCTATAATGAGTAATTAAGTAGTATAAATTTGCTTAACCGCGTAATTCTCCCTATATTTAAATATTTAATCAGAATAAGATAATATGTGTAGATAAAATTTTAAGATAATTCAATGTACGTTTGACTATATTTTATTTTACGTATTTTTTTTTTCAAATTATAATTAAGAAGACGTTTGTCCCCACTTGAAGTAAGATTCGTAATTTTACTTTTGTGGAATACTAGTACCTAGATATTTAACTTGTCCGACAAAGAAATAAATGTTTATTGACCAGATCCCCCAACCAAGAATCAAAAATTTAATTTATACACTCTCCCCAATTGTATTATTACACTATCTGACATTATGACTTAACTATTTTTTTCATTTTTTTTAAAGCTATTTTTGTTTTGTTTAAGTGAACCAGGACAGATATTTAAAAAAAATTGCTCCATCAGACCAACTTCAACTGACCTAGTCAACTTGACAATTTTTATATACCACAGATATTTTAAAGCTAGTGTTTTCGATCGATATATATATATATATATATATATATTTTTTTTTTTTTTTTTTTTTTTTATAGTAAACTAAAAAATATATATATAATGTATTAATGTATTTAATCATATGATTTTAATTTTTAAACATGTTATATGGAAAATTAAAATAAAAAATTTGGCAAAAATGATTAAAATTATTCTTTTCATTTCATTTTATGTGACACATTTTGGATTACGTATGAGATTCAAACAAATCTATTTTTGACCGTAAGTTTTTCATAGATTTTGTAAACATTTTGAATTATCAATTATTGTGACTTATGGTACTTTTTACGTAGTTTACAAGTATATAAATTTCATTTTAAAAAATTTGAAGATTCCATGCGTAAATTGTTGGTTAAACTTTAACTGTCTGACTCTCGAAAAATGAAAAGTGTCTCATAAATTGAGATAGTAGGAGTACTTTTTTTAACAAACTAAAAAAAAGTAAGATAAATAAATTGAAATGGGGAGTATAATATACCAAATGTTTAACAGAAGAAAAAGTAATATTTTGAACTGAGTTGTATAGAATAATCTTGATGAAGTCAGTTTAAAGGATTTTAATAGTAGCACCGACAGAATATAAAAATATACATATAGTACTTAGTAGCAAGTAGTTGTTTTAAATAAAGTAAAATGAAATTAGAGATATTTAAGTATGAGTGGTGGTGTCACGTTGAATGTTTTTGCTCCATGCAGAGGGAACATGGACTATCATATATTGCACGTGTTTCATATTGAGCTCGATTAAATTTAAATTTATATCAAAAAATTTAACATTAAGGATAAAACATTTCTTAACAAAGGCAATTTTGTACCAAAAAAACTTGAATCCAAAATCTTTAATTAAAAATAAAAAAAATACTAAATACTTATTACTTCATCACACAACCTTTGTTGGTCATGCTTGTGTCAAATCCTCCCACAAACAACCAACCTCTCTTTATTTTTGTAGATCATGTGTTTCAGTTTGGGAAGTTACAATTGGCACAAAATTTAAACATAATAAAAACTTTTGTATCTCATTGTCCCAAACTAAAAATATATAGAATGTATAAAAATATTTTTTAATTTTGTGATTTTTAAATATACTGATCTGATTCTTTTCCATTTCTCTTCTCTTCCTTTTTTCCAAGTTTTTGCTTGGATTGGTGACTAAGATTTAATTGACCAAAGTCCTAACCATGGTTTAGAACTTAAGATAATAAATACATTACATAGTTTTGGTCAATTACTTAATCATCAAATTTCCTCGAAAGAATTTGAGGAAAATGGAGTGGAGCTAAAAGCACGAAACCTTAAACACGCCAAACTATTTTTTTAAAATTTTTATAAATAGATAAAAATAAATAGTAATAAGACAAACTAATTAAAAGAGATAGAGTACCATTTTTCAATAACTTTGGATTCTCTTATATATTTTTCTGCCGAGTTTAGACTTTTATAAGATTACGCTATCGGTACAACAGAAAGAGAATCAGTACAAATAGTGACGCAGAGGAAATGAATGAAGAACTTCAATTATTTTATTTTTTTTGAAAAAATTATACTGCATGAATAATTAGATTAATTTATATATATAAAATAAGTATCCTAATTCCTAACTATATAGTTAAAGGAGCATGTTACAAAAATAATTTCAACTTTAATAATAAAAATGACCATTTTAAAATAACTCAGTTAGTCGATTATCTAATTTTCCACCCATTATAATTCTCTCACTAGTCCACTTGCCCTATCTAGACTCTAGGGTATAAAGCCTTTCTTTTTTAGAAAAATAAAAAAAGAAGACCTAATGGTACAAGGAGTCATAAAGTTTATATTTAATTCTTCGGTACTGTTAAGAGTGTTGTTAGTTGAAAACTCTATTTTCCAGTATAAGAAAAGAAACTAATTACTTTGTAAGTTTGGATTTTGTTTACTTGAATAAAGCAACAAACAAAATTTGAATGTAATTAATTGAATATAATGATGTTACTACAAAGTAGTCGCTTTAATCTAGATCTTTAACATTTACTTCCACTTCATATTTATGTGACATAGTTTAAATTTCGTCAATAACAACAAAAAAAATAATTTAATTGTAATTTATCATATCTTTTAAATTGTTAATTTCGTGATTAATAGGACTTTTTATGTAATTTCTAAGTGTTTAAATTATTTTTTCAAAAAACTGAAAGATTTCATATATGAATATCATTATAGAGTACATTACAATTTCTGCGATGATCATACAATATCTAATTTTCTCTAGCTCTTATTTTTTTTCATGCTTCTTAATTAGTAGATATTCATTTCCTCATAGGATTGACAAGATAAAACTAAACCCCCTTACTTGTACTTATTTCTATTGAAAAAAAAAGAATACACTAAAAAAAAAAAAATTGACCTCAAAATTCGAACTATGTCATATAAACCTAGACACATAGGAGTAAACAAAATGAAAAATCTCAAGTGAGTTTGATTAATTAAACTTTCAATTTATTGATGATGCTTCAACTCCCCGTAATCTCATTCCTCTCCCCCCAATTTTTTAAAATAAAATAAGCATATTCCTTGATGGAGAAAAAAACTATAATTCTTTTACTTTAATTTCAGCCTAAGCAAGTCCCAGTTTAGAGCCAAAAAAAAAGTGTCACTATCTTGTCTGTACATAAAAGCAGAGCAGAGACAGCTCACTCGTAAGGCAATTTCAACATCTTCTGATCTCTTCATTTAGATTAGTCTAAAGTGAAGAAAATATAAAGTGAAAGAAATAAGAGTTTCCACTAATAGAAAAATAAAAGTAATTTAATTGGTTAGATCTGTTATTTCATCTACATTTTCTAATTTTAGTGTTACAGTTAGAGCAAAAGAGCAAAGAAATTTGAAGATGAGGAGCTTGTGGTGGTCTTTATTGGTAGTGCAAATCTTATTCTTATTAGGTTTTTCCAATGGGGAAAGTCCATATAGGTGGTATAATTGGAATATTACATATGGTGATATTTATCCTCTTGGTGTTAAGCAACAGGTACTATCAAGAAATGCTTTGGATTTGAAGAATGTGTATTTTTTTTTATTTTTTTAATGTGAGGAAGTTTGTGTATATTTCAGGGTATATTGATAAATGGGCAATTTCCAGGACCTCAAATTGATAGTGTTACTAATGATAACTTGATTATCAATGTTTTCAACAGTTTGGATGAACCTTTTTTGTTGTCATGGTGAGTACTATTTCTCTCCCTATGAATATTTGAATGAGCATTTTACTTTGGCATAGTAGATAAATGTGTCATTTAACTTAGTTTCAGCTCGTGTATATATATATGCTCTACAGACTACAACTTTGATTGTGCATACTTAAATTTGTATTAACTTGAACAAGTAAACATATGTGTTGTTCTACATAGCAATATGTATCTTACGTGGTGCCTCATGTGTATTATGTCACGCAGGACGCATGTTTCAACTTGTTCAATTTTATATAAGTTTAAATGTTTACCTTTTTATTTTTATGTAAGCTACTTATATGTAGATTTTATAACCTTACTGTAAGTACTCCGATTTTGAGAGTGTACATCTAAACATTTAACTTGGTCTCAATTGATAATTAAATACTTTAACTTGTCCATTTTGTGTCTTGTAGACATTTGATGCTGACATAATACATAAATTTTGGAGGTGTTTAGATGATTATTTTGTAAGTTGGGAGTGCTTAATTGACACAGAGACAGTGGAGATGAGTTGAGGTGTCTAGACGTGCATACTCAAATTGAAGTGTTTAGTTGTTGGTGGAGGAAAGTTTTGAGTGTAAACTAGGACAATTATTTGCTATATCAGTGTCTGAGTTGCTGTCTTAATGTAGCTGTTATATTAAATAATATGTTCTTACCATTATATCATACTATTATAATGTAGTCTTGACCAATTTTCAATTCTCTGCATAAGGTATAATTTAATTATGAAGAAATGACTTTCACTTTAAGGAATAACAACCAGATCTAGAACTTGTCGAAGTCTTGAATAACATATTCATCGTTTGAGATTCTCTAATGTGAAGTAATGACTACGCGATTTGGAACAATTTGATTGTTTTTCAATTGGTATTTATGTGTGTTTATATATTTTAAGTTTGTCATCTGCCTGAAGTTCCATCATATAGCTAATAAAAACATGATAATCGACTATGTGACAGGAATGGAATTCAACAGAGGAGGAACTCATGGCAAGATGGAGTATATGGGACTAACTGTCCGATCCCACCAGGCCAAAACTTCACATATGTTCTACAAGTTAAGGACCAGATTGGAAGTTTCTTTTATTTCCCTTCATTGGCTATGCACAAAGCTGCTGGAGGCTATGGTGGCATTATAATACGTAGTCGTCCGCTGATTCCTATTCCTTTTCCTCCACCTACTGGGGATTACACTATATTGGTTGGTGACTGGTTCAAGCAAAATCACACTGTGAGTTAGTGTATAAAAACATATTCTTGAGAAATTTTGTGGATTGGTTAACCGACTGTGAATCTTATTGCACACATCACAGGATCTCAAGGCAATTTTAGATGGAGGAAATGATCTTCCCTTCCCTGATGGCCTTCTAGTGAACGGTCGTGGATCAAATGGTTTAACTTTCACAGTTGATCAAGGTGATCAATCTAGTTAATGCAGCAACTTACACTTGCAAAGTAGACAATGCATTTCTTGCTTATATGTGATACTGACGATAAACTCTTTTGTTTCCAGGTAGGACCTACAGATTCAGGATTTCCAATGTTGGCCTCACTACCGCTATAAATTTTAGAATCCAGGGGCACAAGATGGTCTTAGTTGAAGCGGAAGGGACTCACACACTGCAGAACACCTATGAGTCACTTGATATCCATTTGGGTCAGTCCTATTCTGTATTGGTCACAATGGACCAACCAGGACAGGACTATTACATTGTCACCTCAACGCGTTTCACTTCACCAGTGCTAACAGCAACATCAATTCTTCACTACAGCAACTCAGCGGGAGGTGTTTCTGGTCCTCCCCAGGTGGACCAACAATTGAGATTGATTGGTCTCTCAATCAGGCTCGATCTGTTAGGTACATTGTGAATCTTTTTGCTGAAATGAAGGTCAGGTACTGCCTGCATTCTTGTTATTATAAGTCGTTTCTGCATGCAGGCAAAATTTGACAGCAAGTGGTCCAAGGCCTAATCCACAAGGTTCTTATCACTATGGGTTGGTTAACACCACACGGACAATTAGACTGGCAAATTCTGCTCCGATGATTAATGGTAAAAAGAGGTATGCAGTCAACAGTGTGTCGTTCATTCCAGCAGACACGCCACTCAAACTAGCAGACTATTTCAAGATTCCAGGGGTATTCAACCTAGGCAGCATTCAAGATTACCCCACTGGAGGCGGTGGTTACCTCCAGACCTCTGTCATGGCTGCTGATTTCAGAGCCTACATTGAAATTGTGTTCGAGAATCCAGAAGACACTGTCCAGTCATGGCACATTGATGGCCATATCTTCTTTGTTGTTGGGTAAGTTTTGTTCACTTCAACTCAATTCATCCAATTTCATCAGAGCCGGGAATGTAGAAAGGAAAAGAAACAAAAATCAAAGGAGCTGTCTTTGACGGTTATCTCTCTGAGTTCAACTTTCATACAATGACATCAGGTCGCATAAAAGATAACTACATGTAACTGTTACCAATAAGTGAGATTACTAACATGAAATTTAAGATATATAATTCTATGCATTTATTAATGCTGATTGGATGAACAGGATGGATGGCGGACAATGGTCAGCTGCAAGCAGATTAAACTACAACTTAAGAGATGGAATTTCGCGTTGTACAATTCAGGTATTTCCGACTACAACGTTGATTATCTTCCTTTTATATCTGTTTTCAACATTTCATTCATTTGGTGATCAACAGGTATATCCAAGATCATGGACAGCTTTATACATGCCATTAGACAATGTGGGAATGTGGAACATTAGATCAGAGAATTGGGCTCGGCAGTATTTAGGCCAGCAATTCTACCTTCGCGTTTATTCACCTGTCAATTCATGGAGAGATGAGTATCCAATTCCAATAGGTGCTCTTCTCTGTGGCCGTGCATCTGGACGCAAGACTCGCCCACTCTAAGGAACGAATTCTATCAGCTTAACCAGTCACGAAAGGGTGACTGATCGATCTTCGAAGAGTTATGGCAAACAATTTTAAAGGGGAAGTAGCAGAAAACTGCTCTTACTCTGATCAGCACTTGTCTTTTTTGTTTATCATTTCATTTTAGGATTACTTGTGAGATTATTGGTTGCAGCATGAGAAGAAAAGTAATCTCTATTCATTTTGTAAAACTCAATTCATGAAGAATCCATTCTTGATTACCAGCTAATTCTTGTTTAAGGCTCTGATATATGCTCAATTTTCAATCTTTGTTTACTATGACACTACAAGACAATGATACAATAGAAAAATAGGAAAAAAGGACAAATATACCCGAACTATGGTAAATGGTATGTAGATATCTTCTGTCATACTTTTGGGATATTGGTCCCCCTGTCGTCCAAAAATTAGAGCATGTATGCCCTTCACTCTAATGACTAAATATGCAATCTTCATCGATTTGATATTTAATAAATGTCGGATCGGTGGATAAGATTATGACACGTGTATGTCCGTTAGTATAAAAGATATATATGCTCTAGTTTTTGGACGGTAGGGAACACCAATGTCCCCAAAGTATGACGGAGGGCATTTGCATACTATTTAGGATAGTTTAGTGGTATATTTATCCTTTTTTCCTAGAAAAATTAAAACTTTTTTGTTTTAATTAATGATAAAAGAAATTTAATTCATCACTTTTGAAAATGATATACTACTATCAATTGTTTCCTTTCTAGTTTCATCTCTTCGTTTACCTCCTCCATTCAATTAGCTTTGATCTTATTTTATTTTATCCAATTTTTAAAATACAATGACTTCTTTTTCAATATAGAAATAAAATTTAATTTATTTAAAATTTTATTTTATCCTTCATATTTTTTTATTAGTACATTATAGACTATAAATTTATACATTTAAAATTTGAATAGTTATAGTAAAGTCGGCAGGTTTAGTGAAATGAGGTAAGCATTAAGCATAGCAAGAGATGTGTTCGTAGGAAAGGGTGACACCTTGTATTTCACAATACGCTATTCAAATTTCAAGGCAATTAATAATGAACCATCAATCATAGTTTCACCGACAACACTAGCAAAAAAGACTGCAAATTAAAGCTTTGAAAAGCGTGTCGAAAGAAATAGTTAGGCAAAAGTAAAGTGGGGAGCGGCCTGGTCTGTCTTCATACTTCCTTCTTAAGTTAACTCTACTCATACAAAAGTACTACTCTCTAGTCTCTTCACAAATCATTCAGACACAAAAAAAAAAAAAAAAAAAACGAAATATGGAGAAAGGGTGGAGGTCTTGGTTGCCTTTAATTGCTATGGTGATGATGTTTCTTCATGTAAATTTTATTCATGGGGAAGACCCTTATAGGTTCTACACTTGGAATGTTACATATGGGGATATTTACCCTCTTGGTGTCAAACAACAGGTACCCTTTTTCCTTTCTGTTGTTCGGATTTTTCAAAAATATTGTTTGCACCTATGTCGACTTCTTACAAAATGCACTATTTTTGGAGGATGCCGACATGAACATCTAGTCGTATAACAATGATTTTAGTTAGCTATGTAAAGTTGATTGACTGTCTTTCTCTGTTTCACTCTGTTACCCCAACAGAGGAATATAGGATCTTCTCTGAGGAATATTTGGTGTTTAAAAATGGCAGGGGATATTGATAAATGGGCAATTTCCAGGACCACCTATTCAGTGTGTGACCAATGACAACTTGATTATCAATGTTTTCAACAATTTGGATGATTCCTTTCTCATTTCCTGGTAATTTCTCTTGCTTTCTGTTCTTATATTTCTTTGATTTCACTAATTGATTGGTTTCCCCTTGCTTAATATGATCTTTTCTTGTTTTGTGGTAGTAATTATTCTGGTGTTAAGGGTGCACTTTTATGTATGCAACAAGTTAATTAATATATACAAATATACATGCTTACGATGATCCTGATAGTTTCCCATCATATTGGCCTGTGCTACGAATATATTCTGTTGAATTAATGATGCCAATTCAGGAATGGTGTCGAGCAGAGGAGAAATTCATGGCAGGACGGAGTCTATGGTACTAATTGTCCCATTCCACCAGGCAAAAACTTCACTTATGTTCTCCAAGTCAAAGATCAGATTGGTAGTTTCTACTACTTTCCTTCCCTTGCTTTCCACAAAGCAGCAGGAGGATTCGGTAGCATAAATATCGCCAGTCGCTCCGTGATTCCTGTTCCTTTTCCTCCTCCTGCTGGAGAGTTTTCCATACTGACTGGAGATTGGTTCAAACAAAACCACAGTGTGAGTTTTTCCCCTTCCAAGATATCGTTTGCTTCTTATAATTTAGTTTAGTCTCTGAGGGAACATTTACATTTACTGCTTCATTTTCTGATCATCAATGTGCTTATTTGCATTTTATAGGACCTCAAAGCAATTTTGGATGGTGGACATGATCTTCCCTTCCCTGACGGGCTTCTTATTAATGGACGTGGATCAAATGGTTATACGTTCACTGTTGATCAAGGTCACCCTTTAATCATTGCATAGTCCTGACAAATTTTTTGGTGTGTTCTATTTGTTCTGTTAGTCTGATATATGTACTTTTTTGGGGGTTCCAGGCAAGACTTACAGATTCAGGATATCAAACGTTGGTCTCACGACTTCCGTTAATTTCAGAATCCAGGGGCATAAGATGATGGTAGTTGAAGTAGAAGGGACTCACACTGTGCAAAATACATATGATTCTCTTGATATCCATTTGGGACAGTCCTACTCTGTGTTGTTAACAGCAGATCAACCTGCACAAGATTACTATATTGCTGTCTCGACGCGTTTCACATCTCAGGTGCTCACAGCTACGTCTACTCTTCGTTATAGTAACTCAGCAGGAAGTGTTACCGGCCCTCCTCCTGGTGGACCAACAATTGAAATTGATTGGTCTTTCAATCAGGCCCGATCTCTGAGGTGCATTTCTCTTTTTGTGAAAACTACAATAACAATGATTCTTGCTACGAGTACCAAAAACTTTCCTTTTGAATTGCTAGGGAACAAAGTTCCTAACTCGTTAGGAAATAACTGCTGTTTTGTGTCATAGAACGAGACGTTTAACTATTTGAATGATAACAGGCGTAATCTATCAGCTAGTGGACCGAGACCTAACCCTCAGGGTTCCTACCACTACGGACTGATTAACACCACACGCACAATTAGACTTGCGAATTCAGCTCCAATCATCAATGGGAAGCAAAGATATGCTATCAACAGCGTGTCGTTTGTTCCAGCAGATACACCACTTAAACTTGCTGATCACTTCAATATTCCCGGGGTCTTTACCCTTGGAAGCATTCCAGATAGCCCTACTGGATCCGGTGCTTACCTTCAGACATCTGTTATGGCTGCTGATTTTCGAGCTTATACTGAGGTTATATTTGAGAATTTAGAAGACGGTGTGCAGTCTTACCACATTGATGGACACCATTTCTTCGTTGTGGGGTGAGTTTCTAAAGTTGCAAGACACTAGCCGTGAAAATCTCAAATAGAGCTCTTGTAAGTTAATAATTAATGTCAAATTCTTTATAACAGAATGGGTCAAGGAGAGTGGACTCCTGCAAGCAGATTAACATACAATTTAAGGGACACAATTTCTCGTTCAACAGTTCAGGTAACTAATATTAACTTCAAAGTTCAAATAACATCTTTCGGACGAATTTATGAAATTAAGCACTTTGTTGGCTTGCAATTTGATTCATTTTGATAGGTATACCCGAAGTCCTGGACTGCACTATACATGCCATTAGACAATGTGGGAATGTGGAACATAAGGTCTCAGAATTGGGCTCGTCAATATTTAGGACAACAATTTTATCTGCGAGTTTATTCACCTGTAAATTCGTGGAGAGATGAAAATCCAATTCCCAGCAATGCTCTTCTGTGTGGAAGAGCATCAAGCTGAGGAACTTTGCACCAGTAATTGGAACAACCTGCAGATTTGTTACATGAAGGTGACTAGGCTTCAAGTAGTTGTTACCAATATTGTGCTCATTGAAATAATTCAATTCTTTATTTTATTAAGTTATCTTTGGTTCAAGTGATTTTTTCCCTTTTAAGTCTATTTAGCTGTTGTTTTTGTTGTAAATTGTAATCAATGTAATTTCCTTGGTTTTCAAATGTTTGGACCAACGTAAAAGACTAGCATCACACATTGACAAGTAATTTATAAGAACAATTAATATATGCCAAGAAGTATATATGTTAGGACCTACTTTTATCTAAAACAATTAATATGCAACTTTTTCAACAGGTCAACTTTATTTGTACATTTACTTGGGTCCGTTTGACCATGTGATATGAAATCATGATTTGAAATCAAACTATGAAATAATGAGATGACGTTGACATACGATTTGAACTTTTTATGTTGTATGTTGTCTCATAAACATAAAAATTTCATAAGTTGTGAAACTATTAATATTGTCCCAATTAATTATACAATCTTACCAAATAAGCATAAGCTTATAAAATCACATAATACACTATCACAAAGATATTCTTAAAAAATACAATATTTATTAATTAAACTTTAATTCGATAAGAAAATCAAATTAAACATAATTAGTTGTGGTGTACTAGTCTTCATTATAATCCTTCCACATAATACAAACAATCTTTTCACGTTGAACTTGCATTTCTCGTTTCATATGACTGAGAAGATGAACCAACATTGTTACTTTGAGCCATTTGTTGGTCAATTTGGTTGGTAAATATATTTGATAAAAAATAATAATTTTGGTGAATATAAATGGTAAAGTAGAAATTGATTTGAAGTAATAATAAATTCTATGTTAGTGAGAATAATCATTATATGAGATATAAACTATTTAAAAAGTAATGATATGAATTATAATTTTTATTTACATATGCAATAAATGATTAGTAGATATATATGTAGAGTTCTTTTTACAAAATATAAACTTGTGGGTCCATTTTTGTATTTTTGAAAAATCTCAAATCATGATTTGAAATTCCCAAATCATAATTTTTGGAGAATTTGAGATTTTATCTTATGCTATGAAATCAACGCGAGATCGCATATCCAAACACTAAATTCATCTCATAATTTATATAACAATTTCATATTGCATCTCCAAACGCCTACCTACTCCCTTTAAACAGTATTCTAATTGTTTCAACGTATGTGTTCTAATTTATTCGATACAGAGTTTAAGTAAACAAATGAGATTTTTGAATGTTAATATCTTAACCTGAAGTGTACTCAAGTATTAAATTGTCTTTGAATTTTGTTATCCATAATATAAGAAGTCTAAAGTCTAAACTAAAGAGTTGCTCCACCATTTCAATTATGTGTTTGTCTTAGTCACTATCACGCAAATGATTTTTTCTTTGATCATAATATTTTTAAATATGTTCTAGATATTTTGAATTGTTAAGTAGTGTGACTTATTGTACATTTTATGTAGTTTATAAATATGTAAAAAAAATTCAAAAAAGTTAAAAATTCTATATCTAAATTCACACCAAACATTAATTAGTTTGATTATCATATTTCGAATCAAGTAGCACATACATAAAAGATTGATAATCCAAATATTCTATGCAAAGAATAGACATAGTAGTAAAGACGATGGCCCATTTGCCATGCCATTATACACAATGTCAACATTAATAATGGTTGGAGTCGGTAGTAGCTACCGTTGACGAAGTTTCGATCTAATTAAGAAATATAGACTTTAGAGATAGTCGTCAATAATTTATGGAACCGTCTGAGCAAGAAAATTGTGAGTATTTGAAAAAAATAATTTTTATTTTTAAAGTGAAAAAAATATTTTGAAAATTGAAGTGTGTTTGACTATGAATCTAAAAGATCATTGAAATTTAACTTAAAATTGAATTCCAAAATTTTATGATCAAACGTGTTTTCAGGAATTCAACATCGGGAAATAAAAAAAAATATATATAACAAAATGGCCTTTTATACACTCACTCTTTTCTAATTTATGTGGTATATAATGAGTTTATTTTACCGCAATTCTTTTATATGCCTTATAAATATTTTGAATTATCAAATATTATGACTTATAATACTTTTAATATAATTTTTTAAATATATAGTTTTAAAGATTTCGTGTAAAAATTTACGATAAAAATTTAAAAGTAGGGTGCCAAATAAATTAGGATTGGAAGGAGTAACAATGATTACATTTTGACTAATTCTATTGGTTCATTTAATATTCCCGCCAGTTCCCCAACGGTTCAAACGCGTCAAATAAGCATGCATGCAGCTATTCACATTGTAGACATTAATGGCTTCAATAGACTTGTGAGTTGGGACTGATAATAATATGCAAAAGTTGTCAACTTGGCTGATCGAGTAAGCCTATATAAGCTCATAAATTCTGAGTGAGGAAAAGCACAAGTAACCTGATATATCTGAGAAACTTTGTGATCATAATCATGGGTTCTTCTTCTCAAAAGTGGGTTGTAGGGTTACTTCTTGTCTTGAGCATTTTCTTGGAATTGAGTGCCATCACTTTTGGTGATGATAAGCTTAAAGAGTCGAGGTGGGGTAATGATAATGGTTGTGGACGATTTGGTAGAAGAGGATGTGGTGGACGTGGAGGATGGGGTGGACGCGGTCCAGGTGGTGGTAGAGGTGCTGGCGGAGGAGGAGGTCTTGGTGGAGGAGTAGGTGGTGGTGGTGGACTAGGTGGAGGAGGAGGTCTCGGGGGAGGAGCAGGAGGTGGAGGTGCGGGAGGTGGAGTAGGTGGCGGAGGAGGTCTTGGGGGAGGAGCAGGTGGTGGAGGTGGACTAGGAGGTGGAGGTGGAGGAGGACTAGGGGGAGGAGCAGGTGGTGGTGCCGGTGGAGGAGCTGGTGGCGGTGTTGGTGGTGGTGCAGGAACTGGAGGAGGGGTTGGTGGAGGTGGTGGCTTTGGTGGTGGAGGAGGAGGAGGTGTAGGTGGAGGGTCAGGTCATGGTGGTGGATTTGGAGCAGGAGGAGGTGTAGGAGGTGGTGCAGGAGGAGGGCTTGGTGGTGGAGCTGGTGGAGGTGGAGGTAGTGGTGGTGGTGGAGGTATCGGAGGTGGTTCTGGACATGGTGGAGGTTTTGGAGCCGGAGGTGGTGTAGGTGGTGGCGTTGGAGGAGGTGCTGGAGGCGGAGGTGGAGGAGGAGGCGGTGGTGGTGGAGGAGGTGGTGGTGGTCTTGGAGGAGGTTCAGGCCATGGTGGTGGATTTGGTGCTGGTGGTGGAGTTGGAGGCGGAGCTGGTGGAGGAGTAGGAGGAGGAGGCGGATTTGGAGGTGGTGGTGGAGGTGGAGTAGGAGGAGGATCAGGTCACGGTGGTGGTTTTGGTGCAGGTGGAGGCGTAGGTGGTGGGGCAGGGGGAGGATTAGGAGGAGGAAAAGGAATAGGAGGTGGACATGGTGGAGGAATCGGAGTTGGAATTGGAATTGGTATCGGAGTTGGTGTTGGTGCTGGAGCTGGAAAAGGTGTTGGAGTAGGGAGTGGATCCGGTAGCGGTGGTAATGGCCGATGATTTAAATATCTCGTAGCCTAATAGCTACACTTCCGCAGTTCCAAGATACATAATGTTGCTTTAGACTTTAAAGTTGTTAAGCTACAACTATAATTAAACAAATGAACTTGTATGATTTGGCTTTCATATGCATTGTATTTTCCTTAATTTCCAATGTATCATCCTCACATTATGAAAAGAAACTATATATATATGAATCTTGTTAAACTACTCACTTTGATTCTAAGATTTTTTTTTTCGTCTTATCATTAAGTTTAGTGTTTGAGGTAGCAATTTGAACCCAAGGGCTTCATTTCCTTATTATCAATGTGCTTATTTAAACTATCGTAAACAAGACTTAGCTGATTCTTTTCCAACATAGAAATAATAAACTAAAGATTTTTGTTCGACAGAAATAAAAATCTATGGATTGATTGGGATATATGTGATGCCATATGGATGTTATAAATTAAAGAGGCGCCACTTCTCGTAATTAAAGCACAAAAATGCTTGTTATGGACCATAGTCACTACTTTTTCTATAATATATATATCATCTTAAATCCACTACTTCGAAAGGATATTTTATGTACCCTTGACCCTTGTCAATAAATTCTCCTTTATCTTATTGTCAAAAAAGTATGTTAGGACCTACTTTTTTCTAAAACAATTAATATGCAACTCTTTCAACAGGTCAACTTTTACTAATCGTTTCAATTTATGTATTTCAGTTTTCATTGGACATAAAATTTTAAAAAATAAATGAGATTTTGGGATTTTATGACTTTAATCTAAAGTGTAATAATTGCTAAATTATTTTGAATTTTGTGGTATTAAAATAACATGTAGAATACTTGTACAGAGTTACTCCACCATTTCGATGCGTCTGTCTTAGTAATTATTTGGACAGTCAAAGTATTTTTTTCTTTGACCTAGCTTTTTCAAATGTCTTCTAAACATTTTGAATTTTTAACTATTCGGGCTAATATGTTTTTATTATAGTTTATAAATTTCATTTCAAAAAATTAAAGATATTGTTTTTGAATTCACATAGAATATTAGTTAATATAACTCATATATTCCGAATCAAACCAAATAAATTGAAACACCGGAAGTACTAAATATAAAAAATGAAAATATTGTTTAACGGATAAATAAGAAAAGAAAGACACATAAATTAAAATAGAATAATTGGCATCGATACTTATATAACTTTTAATTGGGGGATGGGTGTTCGGTTCTTCGGTTCGATTTTGTCAAATTTTGAAAAAGTGTGCATCAAATACCGAACTAAATTAATTCGATTCTGTTTAGTTCTTTCTACTCCGATTCAGTTTGATTCGATGTTTTGAAAATATTTTCTCAGTTGCGAATTAAAAATAAAATGATCAGGATAAATTAAAGTATAAGACACTTGAAAATTTAAATGTTAAGTGATGATGTGTCTCACCATAGAACATTTACTGTGCTTAAAAGATCATATTTGTCTTTGTCAAAAATATTGTGCCTCCAACTACGTACTATAGGTTCCGTCGGCATCGACAAAATTAAAATACATTTGAATTCTCTTGAAAATTAATAATTGAAGTTAATTATATAAATTATAAATTTGTTGCTGCTTTAATTTGTTCATGAATGATTTAATTTCTAGTTGACTTTTATTTTTTAGTTAAGGAAATGTCCATAAATATATATAATTTTTATTTTTTCTTAGAAAAAAATTAATAAAAGTTCAGCTCTATGATGCACCGAAGTTTTAAGACTCTTAATCGAACATCGAACTGAAGAATCGAATTTTAAAAAATAATACTAACACTGAAACAATAAACAGAAAAACCAAAATGAAAGAATCGAATTAGTTTGATTTGATCTGATTTTTTAATTTCTGATATTTATGCTCATTCCTATTTTTAATGCGGCTATTGAACACACCAAATTTGATGGAATGAGTAATTTTAAATACGTGAAACTTCCTAGGCCCTGTTGAAGAAAAATTAATTAGTAACATTCGAAGTTAATCTAGTCTAAATATATTTACATTTTTTACAAATACATAAAAGATTGATAATCCAAACATTCTATGCAAAGAATAGACATAAAGTATAGTGTAGTAAAGAGGATGCCCATTTGCCATGCCATTACGCAATGGCAACATTAATATAATTGGTTGGTGTCGGTAGTACTGTGGGATCAGCTAGAGTTGACCAAGTTTCGATCTAAAGAAATAAATACTTTAGAGATTGTCGTCTATAATTCTACGGATATAGTTGCCATAAAAATCGTGAGTATTGAAAAAAAAGTTATTTTTATTTTCTAAAACAATGATATTTAAAATTTGGAGTTTTTTCTTTTGAATTTTTTTTAGTAATTTGGAGTGAACAATTTTTGGTGTTTTTTGAAATTCTTAAAAATTCAGATATTTAATTTAAAGTTGAATTTGAAAATTTTATGATCGGACATGTTTTCCAAAGTTTATCTAAAAAAAAAAGGTAAAAAAATTCACGGCCAAATGCCGAGAGTATTCCTTTGTGCAATCTTTTATATGTCTTAATAGTAATTATTTTGAATTATCAAATATTGTGATTTATATTATACTTAATTTTTTTTTAGTCTGTTTAAAAAAGAATGATTTTTTTTTTTGCATCATTTTAACTTTAACTTTCCACGTGACATGTTTAAGACTACAAGACTGAATGATATTTTGGTGCATTTGACATAACTTTAATTTAGAACCACAAGATTAATTTTTTTCTTTTTGTTTTCTTAAACTCTATTTCAAATTAAACCATAATATTCTTTTTGAAACAGAAGGAGTAGTAAGTACTTCTAACATACTTTTAAATATGTAAATTTACTATATATATATTATAAATATTTTATGGATAAATTTTTGATTAAAATTTAAAAGTACGATGCCAAATATATGAGGAGAGAGGAGTAGCAATATAATCCATTTTTGACTAATTCCATTGGTTCATTTAATGTTCCCGCCAGTTCCCCAACTGTTCAAACGCGTCAAATAAGCATGCATGCAGCTATTCACATTGTAGACATTAATGGCTTCAATAGACTTGTGAGTTGGGACTGATAATAATATGCAAAAGTTGTCAACTTGGCTGATCGAGTAAGCCTATATATATCTTCATAAAATCTGAGTGAGAAAGAGCACAAGTAACCTAATATATTCTAGAACCTTTGTGATCATAATCATGGGTTCTTCTTCTCAAAAGTGGGTAGTAGGGTTACTTCTTGTCTTGAGCATTTTCTTGGAATTGAGTGCCATCACTTTTGGTGATGATAAGCTTGAAGAGTCAAGGTGGGGTAATGATAATGGTTGCGGAAGATTTGGTAGGAGAGGTTGTGGTGGACGTGGAGGATGGGGTGGACGCGGAGGACGTGGTGGATGGGGAGGGCGCGGTGGACGTGGTGGAGGTGCAGGAGGAGGTTTTGGAGGTGGAGCTGGTGGAGGAGGAGGTCTTGGAGGAGGAGGAGGAGGTGGAGTAGGTGGTGGGGGAGGTCTTGGTGGAGGAACAGGTGGTGGAGGTGGAGGAGGACTAGGGGGAGGAGCAGGTGGTGGAGCTGGTGGCGGCGTTGGTGGTGGTGCAGGAACTGGAGGAGATGTTGGTGGAGGGGGTGGCTTTGGTGGTGGAGGAGGAGGAGGTGTAGGTGGAGGGTCAGGTCATGGTGGTGGATTTGGAGTAGGAGGAGGTGTAGGAGGTGGTGCAGGAGGAGGGCTTGGTGGTGGAGCTGGTGGAGGTGGAGGTAGTGGTGGTGGTGGAGGTATCGGAGGTGGTTCTGGACATGGTGGAGGTTTTGGAGCCGGAGGTGGTGTAGGTGGTGGCGTTGGAGGAGGTGCTGGAGGCGGAGGTGGAGGAGGAGGCGGTGGTGGTGGAGGAGGTGGTGGTGGTCTTGGAGGAGGTTCAGGCCATGGTGGTGGATTTGGTGCTGGTGGTGGAGTTGGAGGCGGAGCTGGTGGAGGAGTAGGAGGAGGAGGCGGATTTGGAGGTGGTGGTGGAGGTGGAGTAGGAGGAGGATCAGGTCACGGTGGTGGTTTTGGTGCAGGTGGAGGCGTAGGTGGTGGGGCAGGGGGAGGATTAGGAGGAGGAAAAGGAATAGGAGGTGGACACGGTGGAGGAATCGGAGTTGGAATCGGAATTGGTATCGGAGTTGGTGTTGGTACTGGAGCTGGCAAAGGTATTGGAGTCGGGAGTGGGTCCGGTAGCGGTGGCAATGGCCGATGATTTAAATATCTCGTAGCCTAATAACTACACTTAGGCAGTGTCAAGATACATAATGTTGTTTTAGACTTTAAAGTTGTTAAGCTACAACTACAATTAAACAAATGAACTTGTATGATTTGACTTTCATATGCATTAGTTCAGATTTGACTTTCATATGCATTGTATTTTCCTTAATTTCCAATATATCATCCTGCAATTATGAAAAGAAACTATATATATGAATCTTGTTAAACGACTCATTTTGATTCTACGATCGATCTTGTTTTCGTCTTATCATTAAGTACTTTAGAGTCTCTAAGGTAACAATTTGAATCCAAGGGCTCCATTTTCTTATTATCAACGTGTTTATTTAAACTATCGTAAACAAGACTTAGCTGACTCTTTAACAACGTAGAAATAATAAATTAAAGATTTTTGTACGACAGAAATAGAAATCTATGTATTGATTGGGATATATGTGATGCCATATGGATGTTATTAATTAAAGAGGCGTCACTTCTTGTAATTAAAGCACAAAAATGCTTGTTATGGACCATAGTCACTACTTTCTAATATAGATCATCTTAAATACACTACTTGGAAAGGATATTTTATGTACCCTAGTCAATAAATTCTCCTCTATCTTATTATCAAAAAAGTATCTTTAGGAGTTGAGACCTACTTTTATCTAAAACAATTAATATGCAACTCTTTCAACAGGTCAACTTTATTTACTTACTCACATTTAAACGATGTACTGATCGTTTCAATTTATATGTTTTAGTTTTAATGGAACATAAAGTTTAAGTTGATAATTGAGTTTATTGGATTTTGTGATTTTAATCTATAGTGTAATAATGTACTAGATTATTTTTAAATCTTGTGATCTTAAAATGACTTGTAGGATATTTGAACCAAAGAGTTACACTGTTTCAATTTGCTTGTCTTAGTAATTATTTGGACAATCAAGAGTTTTTTCTTTAACCATAGTTTTTTCAAATGTCTTCTAAACATTTTGAATTTTTAACTATCGTGGTGTATTGTATGTTTTTATATAGTTTATAAATATATAAATTTTTATTTCAAAAGATTACAAATTCTATGTTCGAATTCACACCCAACATTAGTTAGTATGACTCACATATTCTGAATAACCAAAAAAATTGAAACACATGTATACTAATAAAAAATAAAATTATTGTTTAGTGGATAAATAAGAAAAATAAGACATATAAATTAAAATAGAATAAAATTGGCATCAATACTTATATACCTTTTAATTAGGAGTGGGCGTTTGGTTCGATTTTATCGAATTTTAGTTCAATTTTGAAAAAGTATGCACCAAATACTGAATCGAACTAATTCGATTATGTTTTATTTTTTGTACTTCATTCGATTTGATTTGATGTTTTGAAAGCATTTTTTCGGTGCGAATGAAAAATAAAATGAGGATAAAATTAAAGTATAAGACACTTAAAAAAATTAAATGTCAAGTGATGATGTGTCTCACCATAGAACATTTACTGTGCTTAAAAGATCATATTTGTCTTTGTCAAGAACAGGCGTATCCAGGATTTTCAGTAAGATGGGTGCACGATTATGAAAAATGCATCTTAAATATAAATTTGATCGGTTTGTCTTTTAGGTTATTAATATGAACCATTAAATTTTAAAAATTATAGGTCCAAAATTTATAATACTAATTTTAAATTTTAATATACACATTTGATTTAATTATATAAAAATTTTACCGTGCTAATTTTTTAAGGAATTTTCAATATAACACACTTGAACATTTTGAAAGATTAAAGGAAAAAAAACAAAGAAAAATTAGTTGAAACGCCAAAAGTGTAACCGATAACCACTAGGTGTTACTCAAAAAGACAGGATAGATATAATTAAGATTTAAATCTATATCATCACTTAGAGAGGGAGGTGCACCTAATCATCATTGTATTATTATATGATACTTTGAATGTGGGTTCACATATCTATATTTAAATATTTTTAAAAAAATATAACACTACTATATATGACCTAAAAAGGGGAGCATGGGTTCACGTGAACCCAGGGTACCCCTTCTGATACGCCCCTGAGAACATTGTGCCTCCAACAACGTACTATAGGTTCCTTTACATGACATGATACGTCGGCATTGATAAAATTAAAATACATTTGAGTTCTCTTGAAAATTAATAATTGAAGTTAATTATTTAAATTGTAAATTTGTTACTACTTTGATTTGTTCATGAATGATTTAATTGCTAGTTGACTTTTATTTTTAGTTAAGAAAATGTCCATAAATATATATATATAATTTTTAGTTTTTCTTAGAAAAAAATTACTCCATAAAAATTCAGCTCTATGATGCACCGAAGTTTTAAGACTCTTAATCGAACATCGAACTGAAGAATCGAATTTTAAAAAAATAATACTAACACTGAAACAATAAACAGAAAAACCAAAATGAAAGAATCGAATTAGTTTGATTTGATCTGATTTTTTAATTTCTAATATTTATGCCCATCCCTATTTTTAATGCGGCTATTGAACACACCAAATTTGATGGAATGAGTAATTTTAAATACGTGAAACTTCCTAGGCCCTGTTGAAGAAAAATTAATTAGTAACATTCGAAGTTAATCTAGTCTAAATATATTTACATTTTTTACAAATACATAAAAGATTGATAATCCAAACATTCTATGCAAAGAATAGACATAAAGTATAGTGTAGTAAAGAGGATGGCCCATTTGCCATGCCATTACGCAATGGCAACATTAATATAATTGGTTGGTGTCGGTAGTACTGTGGGATCAGCTAGAGTTGACAAAGTTTCGATCTAAAGAAATAAATACTTTAGAGATTGTCGTCTATAATTCTACGGATATAATTGGTCATAAAAATCGTGAGTATTGAAAAAGATATTTTTATTTTTTTAAAAAAAATGATATTTAAAATTTAGAGTTTTTTTTTCTTTAAATTTTTGTTAATAGTTTGGATTGAAAACACTTGTTGGTGTTTTTCAAATTCTTGAAAATTCAGAAAGTTAACTAAAAGTTGAATTTGAAAATTTTATGATCGACATGTTCCAAAGTTCATCTAAAAAAAGAATAAAAAAAAATTCACTGCCAAATGCCGGGAGTATTCCTTTGTGCAATCTTTTATATGTCTTATAGTAATTATTTTGAATTATCAAATATTGTGATTTATATTATACTCCATCTGTTTAAAAAAATATGATTTAGTTTCCTTTTTAGTTTGTTTTAAAAAAATGATTATTTTCTTTTTTTGGTAACACTTTAACTTTTCACGTGACATGTTTAAGACTATAAAATTAAAGGGCATTTTGGTACATTTGACATCATTTTAATTTAGAACTATAAGATTATATATTTTTTTATTTTCTTAAATTCCATTTTAAATCAAATCATTCTTTTTGAAACAGAGAGGGAGTAGTAAGTAATTCTAACATACTTTTAAATATGTAAATTTACTATATATATATATATATATATATATATATTATAAAGATTTTATGGATAAATTTTTGATTAAAATTAAAAAGTCGATGCCAAATATATGAGGAGAGAGGAGTAGCAATATAATCCACTTTTGACTAATTCCATTGGTTCATTTAATGTCCCCGCCAGTTCCCCAACGGTTCAAACGCGTCAAATAAGCATGCATGCAGCTTTACACATTATAGACATTAATGGCTTCAACTGACAAGCGAAGAGGGATTAATAATACTATCAAAAAGTTGTCAACTTGGCTGATCGAGTAAGCCTATATATATCTTCATAAAATCTGAGTGAGGAAGAGCACAAGTAACCTAGTATATTCTAGAACCTTTGTGAGCATAATCATGGGTTCTTCTTCTCAAAAGTGGGTAGTAGGGTTACTTCTTGTCTTGAGTATTTTCTTGGAATTGAGTGCCATCACTTTTGGTGATGATAAGCTTGAAGAGTCAAGGTGGGGTAATGATAATGGTTGTGGACGATTTGGTAGGAGAGGTTGTGGTGGACGTGGAGGATGGGGTGGACGCGGAGGCCGTGGTGGATGGGGAGGGCGTGGTGGACGTGGTGGAGGTGCAGGAGGAGGTTTTGGAGGCGGAGCTGGTGGTGGAGGAGGTCTTGGGGGAGGAGTAGGTGGTGGGGGAGGTCTTGGTGGAGGAGCAGGCGGTGGTGGTGGACTAGGTGGAGGAGGAGGAGGAGGTCTTGGGGGAGGAGCGGGAGGTGGACTAGGTGGAGGAGGAGGTCTCGGGGGTGGAGCAGGTGGTGGAGGTGGACTAGGTGGAGGAGGTCTCGGAGGAGGAGCAGGAGGTGGAGGTGGACTAGGTGGAGGAGCAGGAGGTGGAGTAGGTGGCGGAGGAGGTCTTGGGGGAGGAGCAGGTGGTGGAGGAGGTCTTGGGGGAGGAGCAGGTGGTGGAGGAGGTCTTGGGGGAGGAGCAGGAGGTGGCGGAGGAGGTCTTGGGGGAGGAGCAGGTGGTGGTGTTGGTGGTGGAGCTGGTGGTGGCGTTGGTGGTGGTGCTGGAGGAGGTGTTGGTGGAGGTGGTGGATTTGGTGGTGGTGGAGGAGGAGGTGTAGGTGGAGGGTCAGGTCATGGTGGTGGATTTGGAGCAGGAGGAGGTGTAGGAGGTGGTGCAGGAGGAGGGCTTGGTGGTGGAGCTGGTGGAGGTGGAGGTAGTGGTGGTGGAGGAGGTATCGGAGGTGGTTCTGGACATGGTGGAGGATTTGGAGCGGGAGGTGGTGTAGGTGGTGGCGTTGGAGAAGGTGCTGGAGGTGGAGGAGGAGGAGGCGGTGGTGGTGGAGGAGGAGGTGGCGGTCTTGGAGGAGGGTCAGGCAACGGTGGTGGATTTGGTGCAGGTGGTGGAGTTGGAGGTGGAGCTGGTGGAGGAGTAGGAGGAGGAGGAGGATTTGGAGGCGGTGATGGAGGTGGAGTAGGAGGAGGATCAGGTCATGGTGGTGGTTTTGGTGCGGGTGGAGGTGTAGGTGGTGGAGCCGGGGGAGGACTAGGAGGAGGAGGTGGACATGGTGGAGGAATCGGAGTTGGAATTGGAATTGGTATCGGAGTTGGTGTTGGTGCTGGAGCTGGCCAAGGTGTTGGAGTAGGGAGTGGGTCAGGTAGCGGTGGTGGTGGTGGTAATGGCCGATGATAAATCTCTCGTAGCCTAGCTAATAGCTACACTTCGGCAGTGCCAAGATACATAGTGTTGCTTTAGATCATTAAATGTTAAAGTTGTTAAACTACAGCTACTAATTTGTATGATTTGGGTTTTATATGAATTGTAGTTTCCTTAATTTCCAATGTATCATTCTCCAATTATGAAAAGAAACTAAAACTATATATATGAATCTTGTTAAACTACTCATTTTGTTTCTTAATTCCTTGGATGTTTCTTTCTAAATGGTTTAAATGAACAATAATCAACACCTTCGTGTTGTCGATGCAGTGACAAGTGTTTCTTTTCCCTTTCATTCTTTAAATGTAGTGTTTTCCCCTCAAACTTTCAATTACTCTGAGCTACATTTAAGTATGCTCAATTTTGTTTTAACTAGCAGTTTAGAGATTTCTCCACAATATTTAATGGTTAATTAAGTTAGCTAGCAGTTTAGAGATTGTGGTAGAATATTTAATTATAAAAATTGAGTTAGTGGATGGATAAATGTTTTTGGAAAATGGGGAAGGAATTACGAAGTGGGAAAAATTGAATTCTCGCCAGCAAGGTGAAATTTCAAGTAGTTAATCAAGTAAATTACTAAGATTCCTTATAATTGATAGATCACGCTTAACCATTTAGTGATTTTCGTAGAATTTGATAGATTGATCGATGAAGTTGGGAATAAACTATTTGGTACGTACACATTTAAAATTTATAAATTTAGAAACATTGTGTCAAAAGATTATTGAAATGCTCGTTAATGTTTTTCTCTTCCTTTGCTAACTCCGCCTGTATAACTGATTGGCGCTTCTCATCCATGTCCTTGAGCTCCTTCACCATCATGATGATTTTGGTGCCTTTCCATACTTGGACATTCCTCTACTCTCTGTAGCTACAGCTTCGGTTTCTTTCTTCTCTACTACTATTGCACATTGATTTGCTTTTCTTGCCTCATTCATTTTAACCTCAATTCAAATAACTTCGCCGACTCTTCTCCCATATTTTATTTAATAAAGCAAGAACTCGTGCACTATATGAAAATATATGTAATAACACATTCTTATTTATAATAATACTAGCTAACAAATCAAATTAAACTAGGATTATAAAATCTATTCCTAGGACAAACAAATTCTAAACTATTTATTTCCTAAAAAATTTAGGCAATGTCTTTTCTCTTTATTGTTACCTTAAGATTACAGTAATTTTTAGTTAATTTCTAGTCATTTATAATATATTGTTACGTATATTATATAGAGCTTATTGCTAAATGAAATAAGACTTGCTTACACTACTATAGAACATGCATGGGATCAGTTTAATTAACTCACGCTATCTACAAAATTCTCTTCATCATGAGGAGAAAAAAAAAACATGTCTTTCCTTCTTTTTTTCAGTAACTAGTAAACTTGTTCGCGCTTCACGCGGTTATAAAAGATTAATACACATAATTTTATCAATATTATTCCTTCTATTTTATATAAAATGAATTTTTAGACATTTTTTCATTGTTTAAATTAATTAAATTGTTCAACGTTCAACATAAATGTTTGAAATTTTTTCCATATTTGTCCTTCCCCTAAGGTTTTACATTTTTCCGTACTCTTTTGAATAATGACTATCTTTACTTTTAAGAATAACTTGGGAATAGCCAAAAGGGAAATAGCTAGTGAAAAATATAGTTTAATTTATGTCCTTAAATATTTTTAATATAAAAGGAAGATGTATTTACAAAATCATTGCTATAACCTTTATTGTTAAAAACTAAAAGAATAAATTTATGAATTCTTTGTATAATCTTCTAAGTTCTTGTTGACATTCACTTTCACAAGCCGATTTATAGGACTACAATATGAAATATCAAATAATGTATAGTGACTATTAATTATTTTAGGAATTTTAGTCTAATTAAAGTGGACACAAAAATAAATATGGCAGCAGAAGAATATCCTTTCTTATTCATTTATGAGTATTACAGTGGGTGCTATATATAGCACTTAGAGTAGCCACGTGTCTTAACATGAGAGGAGAATGCAAATACAATGACAACTGTATAGTATAATGGATAAGAACAAACAAAACGATGTCGTTTTATGAAATAGAAACAACTACTAACCTACTATCTCTAATATTCTCCCTGCTCGTCTAATGTTGAAGATTTATGTTCTGTTTCATCCTCGATGTTGTGAATACGAGGAGATAGTTTCTGCGGAAGCACTCCTAATTGATTTCGAAACAAGATGAACTTATCTCTTGTTATGGGCCTAGTGAATCCATCAGCAATTTGTTGGGAAGCAGGCACAAAATTCACATTGACCTGACCAGCAACAACTTTTTCTTTGGTAAAATGAAGATCTAGCTCCAAGTGCTTAGTTTTCGATCTGAGGATTGGATTTGATGCTAATGCGATTGTGCTCGTGTTATCACACCATATTACTGGTTTGAACTGAGATTGGACACCAAGTTCTGAGATTAAGCCTTTGATCTAGAGAACTTCTTGAATGACATCTGTCAAATTGCGATATTTAGCCTCTGTTGTGGATCTTGATACTACATGTTGTTTCTTAGAGCTCCACGCTACCAGATTTCCTCCTAAAAACACACAGTAGTCTGTAGTCGATCGGCGATTATCTATTGAGCTACCCCAATCTGCATCTGAAAATCCTGTTAATATTTGATGTCCTGCTGGAGAATAGAGTAAACCGTAGTCCAACGTACCTCTGAGGTAGCGTAAGATTCGTTTAATAGCTTTTCAGTGTTTGTCAAGAGGATTTTGTAAGAACTGACTGACCTTATTGAAACTAAATGCAATATCTGGTAGGGTGAAACCGACATACTGAAGAGCTCCAACAATGCTTCGATATTCTTTCGTGTGCTCATGAGCAACCCCATCAGTAAGAGACAGTGGTGGATGTCTAACCATTGGTGTAGAAGTGGAGTGTGACCCAAACATGTTTGCCTTGAGTAGGATCTCAGTGATATATTTCTTTTGATTTAGAAGAAGTTGGTTGCCAATTCTGTGGATTTCGATTCCTAGAAAAAAAGAAAGTAATCCTAGATCCTTAAGTGAGAACTTCAAATGAAGATGATCAATGAGTTCTTCAATAAAGCAGTCATTGTTGCCTGTGATTATGATGTCATCAACATAGACCACTAGATATGTGACATAGGAAGAAGAGTTCAAGTAGAACAGAGCTGGGTCAGCCACAGATTCTTTGAAGCCCAATTTATCAATAAGAAAATCACGGAGCTTTTCAAACCATGCACGAGGGGCTTGCTTAAGACCATAAAGTGCTTTGTGAAGTTTACATACCAATGGTCGTCCATCAGAATCCGTTTGCTCAAATCCAGGAGGTTGTTTCATATGTTGACACCCAATTTTGACCCTCCCCAATATAAATTAATCATCGAGCTCCCTAAAATCTAAACGATTTGAAATAATTAGCTTCATGAAATTCAAAATAATTTTCAAGTCATTTTAAGTAATTTTGTCATTTCTTATAAATTTTAAAATAATGAACATGATGTTTTATATAATTATGTGTCAAATTAGTATATTTTATAAATATTCAAAAATTATCTCAAAACGATTTAGTTTTATTTAAATATTTGGCTATTTGGTTTAAATTAATTAGTAACTTATATTTCGAGTTAATTAGTTTATAATTAAGTTAATTATGTGTCTAATTAGTATATTCTATGAATATTCAAAAATCATCTCAAAAATATTTTATTTTAATTAAATATTTGGTTAATCATTTTTAGTTGTATAATAGCTTATTGTTAAATTAATTAGTTTATAGTCAAGTTAATTATTTTATTTCGTTGAATTTAAGAAGCCCGTTGATTGATTAATTTTAATTCATTAGCTAAACTTAGCTAAATTTCGAATTTGGCAATGACAAAATTAGCCACTTGCTATCCTAGCCTCCCAATTCTTCTAAGTACCAAATATTGGGCCATTTTTTCAGCCCAAATCCCTCCATTCAGCCAACCTTTCCTTTTCCAATTCCTCTCCCGTAATTCCCAGCCCAAATCCACCTATTTTCCAGCCCACCAATTCCAAACAATACTATATTCATCCATTAATAATCCAACACAACCCACCAAATGATTCCCCAACCCGGCCCACTTCACTTTCCCAACCTTTAAACCCATCACTGCCATCAGTGATATTAATAGAAGCAATAGTGTTAACATCGTTCCAGCAGCGTGAGCTTTTCAGCAAATACGACATCAACAATACACATCGAACGACAACATCAGTTCAAGCGCCAACTTCACGGCGAGCACACGGCAGTAGGGGTACGCGTATAGTACGAATTTTTGTCTTCTTTCATCGTCTTCCTCTTTTACTTTACCAGCAAAGGCGTACAGCAAGACAGAGCATGCGTTTTTCCCCTTTCCTCTTTCGGAATGGGGGCAAAAATCTCAGGAAAAGGTGTTGTCCCAATTTGGTGAAAGAAAATTTCGATTTGAATTCGAAATGGGCCTCAATCCCATCCGAATTTCCATCTCCTTCCCCCCAAAATCTACCCTAATTCCTCCCTATATAACATCTCTTATGTTCATTTGTAGAGGGGGGTTTTTTCTGGAGTTGGAAATTTTGAGTTAGAGGAAAATTAGAGAAAGAGTTGGAAATTTTTTAGGAAAAGGTACAGAGAGCAATAAAAAAAAAACAGGGGTAGTTTGAACACACTCTAAAATAGAGAAATTGACTCACTTAGGATCTTTGTTTCGTTTTCTTTGCGGTGTCATCCAACGCTCTTCCACAAGTTCCTTTGAACTCGAGAGAACCGCTTGAATTTCTGCCTAGGTTCTCTGTTCGTAGCTTGTATTCAAGGTCATCCTTTGGTGGTGTAAACTTGTTGCTTCCCTGCTCGTCTTGTCTCGTTCGCTGCCTTAAAAGAGGTAATAATCTCATTTCTTAACCTTGTCTGTTTAACTTCAAACCATGTTTTTTTTTTTTTTTTTCGTTTGTTTGTTTGTTTGTA